CTGTCCACTCCCAGGCTGAACAGTGAACCTTGGAGGTAACTTCACCACTGAGCTAAAAGGGTGTCTGGGGGCCATACTCTCGGGGTTTCTCTAGTCTCCTTTAGGCCAGTATAGATTTTTGGTTTTGACTCTTCACCAGTTTCTGTCATTAACTTGAGCACCTTTACAATATTTTGCCCATCTCATGAAGGAGCATTTATGATTCATTTACCATTAATTCTCAACTCAATAAAGAGGCCTAAATAGTGAAGAAAAATGGGCAATCATACCTCTACGAGTTCCGCTCAGATTAATTTAGTGAACGGGTAGGCAAATGATCTATACCCCCTCAGACAGTAAGAGATAAATGTAAAAAACAGATCTGGGTAAGCAACGCACACTAACACCCAACTGAAGTTTTACAATTTATACTACAAAAGTTTATAGGTATAGGGAAGCGATGAAAGGTTGAAAAAATCTGAAATGTGTTCAGGCCAATTGCAATATTGCCCGTTTATCATAGGGATTGAGTTATACATCATCACACATCTTTCCAGGTCAAGGACTTTTGACAGAATATTAGGAACCGGTAAGCCCATGAAGCTAAAGAATTAAAAAGGAAAATACTGCCACCCATTTGCTTTGCCAATAAAAGTCAGTAAAACTTCTGCTGAACACACAGCTCTGTGTCTAACTAGGTCACACTGGGTTTCACTTCACAGGTGTTTCATTTAGTGTGCCAGCTGCCAGCATACCCCCAAACATACGCAACTAAGCACAATTGCCCAGTGCTGACAGCTCCCGTACCTTTTCTTGGGTCATCAGAGTTAGCCTTTGCTCTCATCACCACAGGCAAAAATCAGAAAAATACTTTGTCTTACTCAGGAAAAGAGAGCACAGCCCGCAGGAAGCAATTCAAGATCATGCTAACAGTTCTTTGGGTTGTTCACATATGTAAGCAAAAAGCAGAAAACTTGGTGCAGCCTTTAACCATTCACTCTAAAAACTGCTTTCCTTTCCTAGAGAGCAAGCTGCTCAGCCCCACAGTCACACCCCCGAGAGAAGAAGTTGCACTCACCAAATAGTGAAAGGACCCCACAGGTCGTCCAGATAACGAGAGACATGCCCACGCTGCCCGTGTTCTGGAGCACGCCCTTAGGGGAAATGAAGATTCCTGCGCCAATGATGGTACCAATGATGATGGAGGTTCCCCTCAGTAAAGTGATTTTCTTCTTCAGCATCACTTTTTCCTGCCCAGGTGACTCTTTGCTGCCCAAGGCAGGCAGCCTTCCGTTAGCATTTCCCTGCAGGTAACCTCCATTGGAGATTGTGGACACAACAGGCTTCCTGACCATGGTAGTGGCACACAGGAGAAAAACAAAACAGGAAGAAAAATACTTTCAACTTTGGTGTCTCTTGGTGTGACTGATCGATCTCTTCCTTTTTGCCTTCGGATTATCTGTCTCAGTGCTATCGTGTTCACAGGTGAAAACGCAGAGGTGTATTTTATCCTTCACAGCTATCTAATTACGCCTCAGAAACACCTGTGCATTCATGGTGCTCTCGGTACCTTCACCTCCTTCTACTATCACTGCTGCTGTAGCAGCTGCTGCTGCCCTATCATTAGAAACCAGCTCAGCTTCCTCATGGGCTTGTATTTAAGCTCCTGCCTGTCACACCAACTTACTCCAGCTAAATGATGATGCAAATTCTCCAGGTTTGCATCAGCCACAGGAGAAGGCTCCAGCATTACTCAGCTCTTTTTTTTTTTTTTTTTCTTCTTTCAAACAGTAGCCGCGTGTTGCTTAACTGACTTAAGCTTTTCAGAGAACAAAGCACACACTTAAAAGGGATTTTAAGCAATCCAGAAGTGGTAAATTCGGAACAGACCTTCCCAGAGATTTCAAGCAACTTCTAGTAAGGAACAAAAGCTCTTTAAGCGAAAAGCAAAATGAAACAGGAAATAGACTACTTCATTTTAAGGAGTTTCTTTCTTCTTTAACGCGCGTGTGTAAAAACTTTTTAAACGCTGCTGTTTTGATGACAGAACATAACCCAAAGCTACACTGTTTATAACAACACAATTTAGGTTTCGTAATTTGTATCCTACGTATTCTTTTTTTGGGGGGTGGGGTGGGGTAACGCTTCTTAGCAACACAGTCAAACCTCATATTTACAAAGGTAGAATGATTCTGTGCTATATAGTTGCAGTCACACACATAACGATTGTAAGCATTACTCATTACTAAAAGATAAAACTTTTTATTACCACTGATAATAAACCAGGATTTAAAATTGTCATGTAAGCATGACAAATTTAAAAATCACAGTGACTTCAGAAAATAGTCATTTTCTGATTCTTACCACTACGAGGTGATTTCCTAAGCTGAGTAAAAGATATTTTTATTCATTTGCAGTTTGTTCTCTTGAATAACCAAAAAATAAAATTTTAAAATTAAGCAATAATCATATAAAACACGCACACAGCAAGAGCCTGAAAAGCAGTGATAGCATTATGTATGACTTTTTTTCTAAGAACTATTGCTATATTATAATTATCATTTGTAAATGCATTAAAAATGTAAGCTAAGATTAAAATTGTTTACTTTGAAAGAGTAAGAGGGACAAAACTTTTTTTTTTTGGTTTATTCTTTTTTTTATTATTGTTGTAATTAAATGAAGTTTACATTTCAAGTTAGTCTCCGATACAAACTTTTTTTTTACGTACATTGTTATGAGACCCTAATTGCTCACCCCATTCTGTGACGGCACACTCCTCCTTTCCGCCCCATTCAACCAGCTCCTCTCTCTCTCTGCCTTCCATCTCACGTCTGGACAGAAGCTGCCGGTTTGGTCTCTTGTATCGAGGGACAAAACATTTTTAAACTCTAATAACTTTGTCAATTAAGTGCCCACCAAATACCAAAAGCAAAGAAACCCTACATATAACTTTTGGCTATGGTTACATGCGGTTTTGAATTTAGTTATCATCACCCTGAAGCTACATTTACATACATCATTAAATATGCTTCTGAACCTCTGAACACTGGGAAAGTAGAGTGAAGATCGGACTATTTTCTGTATGTTGGCACCTGAGAAACATATATCACCCAGTGCTCTGCCATCCGGTTAAGTGAGGCTACATCATTTCTTTTTTATATTATCTACCTAAATCCCACATGATTTTCTTTAAGTGCACCTGGTCAGGGTGTTTACGAAGCCCAGCTACATACTTTTTCTCAGCTGCTATATCTTTCAAAATATAAAAAGGGGTACTTTTCCTCACTCAGTATCATTGACACTCCTAGAAAAGAAGCTAAGGAAAGATTGTCCTGCTACTTCTCCATCTCCTACACGTCCTTCCACTCACACAATTCTCCTGATTAATGCACATACTGGGGAGAAGATGGGCCTGCTTCCCCAAAAGGGGAACATATTAGCTCTGAAGAAATTTGAGTTAAATGTAGAACACTAGGAATCCCAGACAACTACTTTCCACCTCTAACTAAAACAGAACCTCGCTTCAATTTTAAATTTTGTGCTAAATGACTAAACTAATAAATCAAGACCAAGAAAAAGTTCTTTCAACATCAGGTAACATCCTCCTTCTTTGAGGAATTAAAAAATATGTATTTATGAAGAAAAGTTGCTGAAGTTATACTAACGGTCAAAAGGGCTATACCATCACGTGAAAAAGAGTCATACTAAGAAATTCCAGAAAACTGCACATAAATACCAAAGACATCATTATGAATTTTCCAGCTACCCAGAAATTTGCAGAAAATGTAGGTTATAAAGAAAATGTTAAATTACTTTCACTGTTAATAAACCCTTATAATTAGTAGTCTTAAATTTGTAAACTAAGAATTTGGGTGGTGTTCAAATGTGTGTGTATCATAAAAACAAGTTCAAGGCAAATGGATTTATATTCTTCCTCCTGCTTTAGGTCTATTTTAAGCATTCCTAAAAAATTAAGACACTATGCTAGTGTTATTTATCTAACAAATATTTACTTTGTTAGGGAAAAAATTTTTTTTTTTTTTTTTTCATTTCTATAGGCCCTGGTGTCACTGTGGTTAAGTGTTTGGCTGCTAACCAAAAGGTCAGCAGTTCAAATCCACCAGCCACTCTTTGGAAACCCTCTGGGGCAGTTTCACTCTGTCCTATAGGGTCACTATGAGTCAGAACTGAGTTGACAGCGGCAGGTTTGGTTTTGATTTTTGTATACACAAGGCATAGCCCTGGCTCCCTATAAGCATCTGAAGAAAGAAATAGACTTGATATACTACAGAAACTATCCCTTTACTGTTAACATATTTTTTTAGTTCAAATTTAAAAAAGAATTTGTGTAGTTAGTTTCTCTTACTCTGTCCCTCATTAAATTGTGAGCTCCTTAATCTTGGATTGCATTTTTATTTCTGCGTTCTGAATGCCTAGTTCAGAACTTGTTACAGTGCAGTAAGTAGTGAATAAAATATTTGACAATTATTAGCTCCCAGAAATAAAAACACCACTATATAGCTGTACTAGGAAAGCAGAAGGGCTGAACTGGGAGAAAGTAGGAATAGTAAGAAACCCACATTGTCATCTTTCATAGTAGAAAGTTGATATATAACATGCAAAAGTCAAAGTATAAAATAACAGTATACACATATTATTTAGAGATAAGAAGGCAAAGAACAGGATTAAAATCAGGTTAAGGGAGAAATTTGTTGCCTCTGGGGAGTAAGAAAACCGGAAGGTGCAAAGAGAGATGTTTTTTTTCAAAGGATCTGTTTTTATGTTTTAAGCCTTGTAGAACTGTTTACATTTTTAAACTATGTTCTTGTATAATTTTAATAAAAAATTAAAATTAAACAAAAATAGTTAAATTTTAGAAAAAAATAACATGAAAAATGGAAAGCAATTAAAATAAGATTTCTAAGATTCTTTTATTTTTGGCTAAGAGGATAGAAATCTTAATCAATTTTAGATTATGTGAAGTCATTATTTGTGTCAATAACTTAAGGGCAATTATGAAAATGAAGGTAGAATGGAAAGAGAAAGAAAGAGAGAGATGAAGAAAGAAAGAGAGGAAGGAAGAAAGAAAGGGAAATGAATGGAAAATAAAGAAAAGGAATGGAAAGATAAAGAAAGGAAGAGACAAAAGAAACAATGTGTAACTCCCAAACCAGAAGAAAGAAACATGAACAACTTTAATCATTTCAAACTGTAATCAGGAAAGAGGGAGTACAAAGTAAAGCAAAGGCAAGCTAAAGAAAAATGCACACAATCAGATATTAAAAAGATATCCAATATATTAACAGTATCAATAAATTTGAATCTAAATTTAAACACAAAAAATTAGATTGAACAATAAAAAATCAATATCCAGTTAGGTTCTATGTACAAAGTGTACATGAATTTTAAAACATAATGATAAAGAAAAGTGGAAACCAAACTATGGGAGAAGATATTCTGAATATACTACTCAAACAAAATAACTTGAAGGCAAACAATTACTGTGTGTAAAAAGCATTACTGTGCAGATTAAACATCTCTATTCACCTAAGAACATAGATACAAGATAAGTCAAACAAATATGATAGAATTACAAGGAAAAGGAAATAATTTTTTGTTGGAGATTTTAATACACTTCTCTCAGTATTTGTCAAGTCAATAGAAAAAAAAAAAAAATCCTATCAATTGTAGCCAATTATTGATGGTCTATTCAAATTTCCTTGTATCACTTTCCCTGTTTCTGAGATAGCCATTCCCTGGCCTGTGTTTTTGCTTAAAAAGGCATAGCCATGGCTCTGTCAGAGGACAGCCTTTGGACTAATGGAGCCACTTTTCCCATGGTTGCAGAGAAGGGGAAGTGCCTGGTGTCCCCCGGTGGCACAAGTGATTGAGCACTCTACTACTAGCTGAAAAGTTGGTGTTTCAAACCCACCCAGCGGAGCCTCAAAAGACAGGCCTGGCAATTTGCTTCCGAAAGCTCACAGCCTTGAAAATCCTATGGAGCAGTTACACTATGCACACATGGCGTCACCACAAGTCGGAATCAACTTGATGGCAACTGGTTTGGTTGTTTGGTGAAGGGATGTTAGCCAATAAGTCACTGATCTGGGAATATGAAAGTCCACCATACTTGCCTTGAGTTGAGACAAACTCTGAGGTATAATTTACCCTCCAGATGAAGACCTCTGGATCAAGCTGGCATTTTGCCTCAGATTGTACTTTTGTTTGTCTTCTTCTCCTTGCTTATCAGCATTTCCTTAAAAACCACTTGCATGTGATTCCTCATCTCATGGTCTTTTTCTAGAGAACCTGAACTAAACCAGTTGATACTGACAGTAGTCTAGGATGCAGACTCTAAGACAGGGATCTGTAGTTGGCTCACTGACCTCACTCACAAAGGCAGCAGGGACCCATCACCAGTAGTGGAGTCCTGATAGCCCCCGCAGGCTGTTGCATTGCAATTACTAAGAATTTCCCTGGCATGAACTAAAATAGGAAACAGAAGGAGATACACTGGATGGTGCAATCTATCTGGCATTGGGGAACATTAGAGATATTCCTCTTAATGTCAGGAATAAAACAAAGACATTCATTATCCCCACTATCATTTAACATTATCTATGAGGAATTAAGTGCAATCAGACAAGAGAAAGTAATTCTTAATAAAAATGAAAAAAGCAGAGGCAAAAAC